GTAGCAGATTGGTCCATTTCAGAATAATATATATGATATGTTTTATAATGATTGATCATGAAAGTGTTCTCAAAGCTGGTAAAGGTGCAGCTAGTTTGAATGACTTTGTATACTGCAGGGTAGCTTGTGGATTTACTCCAGGTGGAACTAAAGTCTGATTTAACACTTGATTATATTTCACATCATTCATCCACATCTGTGAAGTAACTAAAGGGATTAATACATGCAGTGGAGGAAAAGTACACCATTTACCTCTGAACTGTAGAGGAGTAGAAGTACACAGTAGCAGAACATGGAAATACTCAAGTAAAGTACAAGTACCTCTAAAGTGTACTTAAGTACTGAGTCAATGTATTTAGTTACCTCCCACCTCTGGTTGTGAATCTGAACACGACAACATTCATTAAGCTGCTTGACGGTTGAAATGATGCATTCAGGGACTCATGTTCCCACGGTGATCCGGAGAGAAATCCTGTGTTTGTTGTTACTGTGCGTCTGATGATAGGCTTCATCATCTTCATCATCATCTTCATCATACTGCTTTTACTTCTTATATTTATATACATTTTATTGGACGTTTTTACTACAAGAATTAAGTTGAAATACAAAATGAAATAAAAAATGTTTTAATGAAAAATGTAAAAAATCTAAGCATTAATTTATTGAAAGTTAGAAGATGATAATCAGAGGTCCTGTATTAGTCCTGCAGCGGGGGTTAGGGTTACAAGGCGAGAAATAATGAAACAGATAACGTGTTAAATATATAGAAAAAGCTCACGTGAGTAATACACAATAAAGACTGATGAGGTAAGATAAGATCAGAAGTTCTTTATTGATCTCAATGTGGGAAATGTCTGCGTTGCAGCAGCATCAAAAGACAAGGCATCGTACATTAGAGACATTAAAAGACTAGAAATAAACAATCCAAAACGTAAACATCTCAAATAGAAATAAAATAGCATTAAAAAAAAAGTAAAAAATATACATGTGGAAATACAAATGTACAGTGACAGAATATAAAGCAGGATATTATATATTATATATATATATATATTATATATATATATATATATATATATATATATATATATATATATATATATATATATCATAATATATATATCTATATATATATATCTCTCTCATCTATATTATCTCTACTATATATATATATATATATATATAAGTACACGAGGAATGGAATATTAAATATTAGATTGGATGTAAATGTGAAATGTACAGTGGGCTCAAAATGAGCAACATATTGAGGCGTTAAATAATACAAATAATAATAATATGAATCTTTATTTAGCACCTTTCATACACTAAGTGCAGTTCAAAGCTTCACATAGACATTTCACAGACACTTGATATCACACAGAATACAGTTACCAGTGAAAAGTAAAAGTAGTCATTGTGCAGATTGGTCCATTTCAGAATAATATATATGATATGTTTTATAATGATTGATCATGAAAGTGTTCTCAAAGCTGGTAAAGGTGCAGCTAGTTTGAATGACTTTGTATACTGCAGGGTAGCTTGTGGATTTACTCCAGGTGGAACTAAAGTCTGATTTAACACTTGATTATATTTAAAAAAAAATAACCCTTTATAAAATTTATAAAAAATACATTTAGATTAAAATGATGAAATTGTGCATTAAAAGGCGGGTAGTGCAGATCCAATCAGGTGACAGGTCCAAAGCAGCGCCAATGAATGTTTTTAAGCAATTACTGCCGGAAAAAGCCATTAACATGCGGTAGATTGTTGGTGTGACCGAGATAAGACGCGGTGGGAGGATTATGGTAATAACAGACTGAATGCTGGGTAATCGGGCGGCTGCGGACCCTTATCATCGCGTCGCAGTCACATGACAGGCGACACCTCGAAACACACTGCGGCTCGGAGGGTTTTATCACCGAAACCAGAGCACCGGCGCCCAGATACCATCAGAAATAATCATCATGAGCTTCTACCTTCATCCCGACGAAGAAGAAGAAGAAGAAGAAGTGCCGCATTGCCTCTCGTGAAACTCCAGAGCAAAACAAAACCATGCGAAGGGAAACCACAGAAGAAGAAGAATTATCTCCAGGTGCTTTTTTGTTTGGTCCAAGGCGACAAAGAGGCAATCAACTCATCAGATCAGACACTGAGCGACCTTCAGGGTGACGCTCGGGTCAGTTTCCTGTCTTTCACTCAGACGCTGAAACTGTATGTAGAGTTTCCAAGGAGACAGCGGGCGACACACACACACACACACACACACACACACACACACACACACACACACACACACACACACACACACACACACACACACACACACACACACACACACACACACACACACACACACACACACACACACACAGGTGAGACTGGCTGGAATTCTTCACGCTGTGTCTGTGTTGAAAACTGATTGGTGTTTATCGGAGGATTTAAGTGACAGTGATTTGTTGCTGCTTTTGTTTAAAATAAATGGTATTTTTGAAGCCATTACTCGGTCTGGTAAATCACAGCTTGGCAGAGATGTGATTCTCAGCGATGAGCTTCACCTCTTCGCTCGTCTCCAGGAGGAAGAAGTGCCGCATTTTTCTCACGCGCTCGTAGAAAACTCCAGAGCTCCAAAAACAAAGCCATAAAGAGAACCACAGAAGAAGAATCATCTCCAGGTGCTCTGTGATTGGTCTGAAAGCGACAAAGAGGCTGTCCTTGGTGTTTTAAATAATTGTGTCGTCGCTGGAGAGTAAATAAAAACAACGACAACTGACCCTCAGTGTTTCTGCTAAAACTCCAGAGCTCCAAAAACAAAGCCATAAAGAGAACCACAGAAGAAGAATCATTTCCAGGTGCTTTTTGATTGGTTTGAAAGCAACAAAGAGGCTGCTCTTAATTCTTGGTGTTTAAAAATATCCCGTCGTCTCTGAAGAGTAAATCTCAGTTCAGCGACACAACTGTCCCTCATAGAACCACAGAAGAAGAATCCTCTCCAGGTGCTTTTTGATTGGTTTGAAGGCGACAAAAAAGCTGTTCTTGTTGTTTTGAATAATCTCATCGTCGCTGGAGAGTGAATCAAAACACAACTGACCCTCAGTGTTTGTCGTTGCCATAAAGAGAACCACAGAAGAAGAATTATCTCCAGGTGCTTTTTGATTGGTTTGAAAGCGACAAAGAGGCTGCTCTCAGTGTTTCAAAACATCCCCGTCGTCTCTGGAGAGGGAATCTCAACTCAGTGTTTCCTGCAGCTTTGAATACATCACCATCAGCTGTCCGTCACGCCCCCCTGCTCACCTCGTTTGGGGCGGTTTTGGCTCAGTGGGCGACAGCGTTTATCATCACATCAAGGGGCGTTTGGAAACACCGGTTCGAACCCCAGCCATCGTGTCCTTGGGCAAGAAACGTAACCCTAATTTGCTGCTGTGAGTATTGTCCTCAGTATTCAATGTTAGATTCAAGGTGCAAGGCTTTTATTGTCGTGTGTGCAGCAGCTACAGTCCATATGTCAATGAAATCTGAGGCTCCTCCAACACAACACAATAAAACAGATGAAATGGTGCAAGTAAATACTAATAAAATATAATATGAATAGTGCAATAAGTCAGTTAACCCTAACCCAGTTCACAAAGTGCTTCACAAGAAAGAACAAAAGTTCAAATGAAAACCACAGAAACATGAATACAATAACAACATGAGGCAGAAATGAAGGTCAACAAAACACATCTCAAAGAAATGTAAGTACGTATTGTCCTCAGTATTCACTGTTAGAAGAGTCAAGGCTTTTATTGCGATTTGTACACAGGGTATACATATCAATGAAATCTGAGGCTCCTCCAACACAACACAACAAATAGTGCAAGAAGTCAGTTACATGTTTAATATGTGTAATCAGAATGAGAATCAGAATAACTGTATTAGTCCCAGAGAGAGGGGAAATGTACATGTGTTACAGCAGAAAAGAGCCAAGGACAGCTTAATGTTAACTAAGAAGCATGCGTAAAGAACGATATATTAGAAAGAGGTGTCAACCATCAAAATCGACCGAGGGGTTCCAGAGATATGGAAATCCACCCAAATCACCTCAGGGTGGGTTTTCCTGCTAAATCTCTCTAAAAAGGTCAAATGTCACTTATTTTGCATCAATCTTGATACAGGGTACTTATTATATGTTATAGTGTGGATTCATAAAGCTTTTAGTCTACTAACCCATCATTCAAGGGTGGTTTTCACTATAAGTCATGTTTTATTTTTGGACGGACACTATAATTTACATTTTTTTTCTATGTTCAATCTGAATTTACTTTTAAATAAAAACATCTATATTGATTCTGACTTTTCTACATCCAACTCACAGGTTTATCATTACTTTGAGAAAACAGATTATTAATGTAACCCTTTTAGAAGGGAAGATATGGTCATTTGTTCTGGGCATGGCATGTTCGAGCCTGAGACCTGAAAAACAGGCTCAGGGCTTAAACAGGTTAAAGATAAAACATAAACAAAATTACACAATTTACAAAACACACATCCTGGATCAGTTCTGAAGATTTAGCAGCCAGGTGTATGCTGCACATCATTTGTGTTTCACAGCAAGGGGTGTTAAATAATATGTAATGTAATAATAAGTGTAACGGTGACTCGTTATGAAGAGATTATGTGGAAGAATGGACAGCGAAGCATCTCCTGAGTCATCTGGTGTTCATTCTGAGGACTGAGGACGACCAACACACGATGTCCTTTAACATCCACGCTGCACGTCACATGTCTAAAAACACAGAAGACGGGAAACTCAGAAAAACTGTTGCCATAGTAACAAACAAAATGGCATGAAAACTCTATTAATAAAATCACTTAAAGTGCTATTTCTTACGGTTAAAACTTAACAAAAATGTAATGAATTATTATTATTGTTATTATTATTATTATTATTATTATTTCTCTTGGTTCCAGGTTGCTATTATCATATCGTATCGTATCATGATTTGTCCTGTGTGCAGGCCTCCATGCTGCCGGGCTCCGTGCAGATCCTGGCGTTCGTGCTGGCGCTGCTGGGGCTCCTGGGCGCCCTGGTGGCCACGCTGCTCCCCAGCTGGACGGTGAGCGCCCCCCCGCGCCCCGGCCTGCCGCCGCCCCCCCCCTGGAGGATGCAGGGTCTGTGGATGGACTGCGTGTCCCCGCTGCCGGGGGTCTTCAGCTGCAGCGTGAAGCCGTCTCCTCTCACGCTGCCGGCCTCTCTGCAGATCACCAGAGCCTCCATGGTCCTCTGCTGCCTCGCCGCCGCCTTCGGACTCTGCCTCGCCGCCCTGGGGCTCAAATGCACCAAATGGGGGGGCGGCAGGCGAGCCAAAGGTCACACGGCGGTCGCTGGAGGGGGGTTTTTGGTGCTGGCTGCCTTCCTGTGTTTGGGCCCGGCGTCATGGTTCACTTTCGAAGTCGTCGCCGCGTTTTTAAAGCGTCCGGATGGCAGGAGGCTGCAGCCCGGGGGGGCGCTGGGACTGGCTTTCTGCGCCTCTGGCTTCCTGCTGGCCGGGGGGGTCATTCTGTGCCTGTCCTGCCCCGGGTTAGAGTCCCGACGCCCGGATCACGCCTCCAACGAGGACCAGGACTGGTTCTTGGTGCTGCAGCGGCGACCCCCCCCACCTCAGAAAGAGAGGAAGGAGGCAGAAGTCCCCCCTCCCAAAGAGCTGAGTGAGAAATACAGCCGGCACGAGTACGTGTAGCTTCACTCCATAAATCAGGATTCAAACACAAAAGAAAAAACACTTTTAAACAAAAACTGTATTTGCAAAAAGCTGAGAATAAACATCTGAGAGCACGTTAGAGAATAAGCTTAATATGATGGTGCGCAATGTATTGAAAAACTTGTATTCACCGGCTTTGAGTCTGGGTTTAACCCCCAAAACATGGGGGAGGGGCTTTCAACTGGATGGTATACAGGGGGGGGGGGGAGAAGAAGAGTCTATATACAAGTCAATGGAATATGATATATAGATCAATAATGATCAAGATGCAGCCAGATGAATGTTCTGGATGTTCTTCAGAGTTCAGATGAATGTTCTGGATGTTCTTCAGAGTTCAGATGAATGTTCTGGATGTTCTTCAGAGTTCAGATGAATGTTCTGGATGTTCTTCAGAGTTCAGATGAATGTTCTGGATGTTCTCCAGAGTTCAGATGAATGTTCTGGATGTTCTTCAGAGTTCAGATGAATGTTCTGGATGTTCTTCAGAGTTCAGATGAATGTTCTGGATGTTCTTCACAGAGTTCAGATGAATGTTCTGGATGTTCTTCAGAGTTCAGATGAATGTTCTGGATGTTCTTCAGAGTTCAGATGAATGTTCTGGATGTTCTCCAGAGTTCAGATGAATGTTCTGGATGTTCTTCAGAGTTCAGATGAATGTTCTGGATGTTCTTCAGAGTTCAGATGAATGTTCTGGATGTTCTTCAGAGTTCAGATGAATGTTCTGGATGTTCTCCAGAGTTCAGATGAATGTTCTGGATGTTCTCCAGAGTTCAGATGAATGTTCTGGATGTTCTTCAGAGTTCAGATGAATGTTCTGGATGTTCTTCAGAGTTCAGATGAATGTTCTGGATGTTCTTCAGAGTTCAGATGAATGTTCTGGATGTTCTTCAGAGTTCAGATGAATGTTCTGGATGTTCTTCACAGAGTTCAGATGAATGTTCTGGATGTTCTTCAGAGTTCAGATGAATGTTCTGGATGTTCTTCAGAGTTCAGATGAATGTTCTGGATGTTCTCCAGAGTTCAGATGAATGTTCTGGATGTTCTTCAGAGTTCAGATGAATGTTCTGGATGTTCTCCAGAGTTCAGATGAATGTTCTGGATGTTCTCCAGAGTTCAGGAGTCTAACGGTCTGATGGCCTGACGGAGGAAACTGTCTCTGAGTCTGAGGTCACAGAAACAGAGCTTAATATTATGATGCAAAATGAATTGAAAAGCTAGCATTTGTATTTGTATTCACCGGCTCTGAGTCTGCCTAAAGCTTTCTGGATTCAACCCCCAGAACATTTAAATAGTATCTGTGTTTTAATGAAATAATATCACGCTTATAAAATATAAAAATGTATTCACTTCTGAGCCGGATTTAGAGTTTTTGAAAAATACAAAAAAGAAGATTTTATTTAACTTTTTTCCAATTATATTTCACAGCTCTCTGTGAAATTCTGAAGCAGTATTTAGTTTGTGTGTTTCTAAAGATATTAGTGAGCCGTTAACATCCATTCAATGCACTGAAGAGTAGACGGAGAAAAGTCTTGATGAGTTCCTTTAGACCTCGTATCGGGTCGCTCTGAACTCTGACGCTTTCAGCTTCTAGACATTTAGAAAGCAATACAAGAAAAAGGTCCAAAAAGCCTCAAACTGTCGGCGTCTAGTCCGTGTTTCAGAAAGATCTGAGGGATAAGATGAGAGAAGATGAGAGGAGAGAAGATGAGAGGAGAGAAGATGAGAGAAGAGAAGAGATGAGAGAAGATGAGATGAGAGAAGATGAGAGGAGAGAAGAGGAGAGAAGATGAGAGAAGATGAGATGGGATAAGATGAGAGAAGATGAGAGGAGAGAAGATGAGAGGAGAGAAGAGAGGAGAGAAGATGAGAGAAGATGAGAAGATGAGATGGGAGGCGTGTGGCGCAGTGGATAGTGCCTTGGTGTTGAGTTCAGCAGGTCACAGGTTCAAACCCCACTGCAGTCAGCATGTCGTTGTGTCCCTGAGACACTTCACCCCAAAGTGCTCCTGTGGGGATTGTCCACAGTATTGAGTATGTTAGTCGCTTTGGATAAAAGCGTCTAACACAGGGGTCTCAAACTCAAGGCCCGGGGGCCAAATCCGGCCGCGACTTCATTTTATGTGGCCCCGCAAGAGCTTGCAAAAGAATATAATACGTTTATTATACGGTTACATGCCGCTTTACAGAAGCAGGTTGCCCATAAACTACAATGTTCCCCACCAAGCAATCGTTTTGTGACATTCGCACTGAAGAGACTTGCAATTATAATGCCCTGACTTCTGCTTTCAGCGTAGTTAATTACTAAGTTATTATCCTACCGATATAATCCAATTCAGAGGCAATAATGTAATATAATACATTATTTTATATATATATTATATATTTATATAGTTACAACCGGCCCTTTGAGTGCAACCTTTATGCGAATGTGGCCCGCGATGAAATTGAGTTTGACACCCCTGGTCTAACAAGTGACATGTGATGAGAGAAGAGAAGAGAAGAGAAGAGAAGAGAAGAGAAGAGAAGAGAAGAGAAGAGAAGAGAAGATGAGAGAAGATGAGAGAAGATGAGAGAAGATGAGAGATAGAAAGCGAGAGCTACAGCAGAGAAGATGATAGATCGTGCTAGAGAGACGATTCTCTCCCTCGCACGCTCCGTCGCCACTCCGCTGAGCTCCTCGCTCCTCTCCTCTCTCGCCTCTCTACATCTCTCTCTCTCCGCTCTCTCACTCTTCTCTCCTCTCCCTCTCCTCTCCGCTCCTCCTCTCCTCTCCCCCCTCTCCGCTCTCTCCTCTCCTCTCCTCTCCTCTCCTCTCCTCTCCTCTTCTCTCCTCTCTCCTCCTCCTCTCCTCTTCTCTCCGCCTCTCTCTCCTCCTCTCCTCTCCTCTCCTCTCTCTCCTTCCGCTCCTCTCGCTCTCTCTTCTCTCTCTTCTCTCCTCTCCGCTCCCTCTCCTCTCCTCTCTCTCTCTCCTCTCCCTCCTCCTTCCTCCCTGCTCGCCTCTTCTCTCCTCTCCCTCCTGCTCCTCTCCTCTCCCTCCCCCCTTCCTCCTCGCCTCGCCTCTCCCTCGCCGCTCCGCTCTCTCCCCCTCTCCTCGCTCCCTCTCTCTCCGCTTCTGCTCCTCTCTCTCCTCCGCCCTTCGCCTCTGCTCGTGCTGCTCTGCTCTGCCGTCTCTTCCGTCGCTCTCGCGTCTGTCCTTTATTGATCCCAATGTGTAAATGTTTGCGCAGCAGCATCAAAAGACAAGGCATTGAACATGAGAGAAATTAAAAGACCATAAATAAACAATCCAGAATGTAAACATCTCAAATAGAAATAAAATAGCATTCAAAAAGTAAAAAATATACATGTGGAAATAGAAAGTTACAGTTAGAACATTTAAAGCAGGATATAAAAAGTGAGATATGAAAGAATCCCGATCCAAACAGCCTGAAGCCGCGGGCGTCCGGTCCGTGTGTTCGCTGCGTCTCAGAGCGAGGTGAGGGTGCAGCGCGGCGTGGAAAGAGGTAATGATGCTCTTTGCTTTCCCATTATCCTCTCACCACGCTCGGATGCACTTTGCACACCGCCCCCTCCTCCCTCTCCCCTCCATCCACCTCCAGCTGCATCGTAAAGGACATGCAGGCGTTCTCTGGACGCAACGTTAAGCCTGATGGAGACTGGACACTCTGTTAGAGGGAGGGGGGTTTCAGTCACATGTATGCTGAGCTGAGCTGAGCGCCCACAGGGCCTCTCAGGAAACAGCTTCACACCGGCACACGGAATAACACAGACGTCCTGACCGTGATGCATTCAGGTGCAGAACACACACACAGAGGTGCAGCCTGCCCGTGATGCATTCAGGTGCAGAACACACACACAGAGGTGCAGCCGGCAGAATGATGTGTTTGTTCTGGAGCTGAGCGTCGCTGCTTTTGATGCTTTTGGATTCTCCTCTCGTGCGATTTAAAATGTTTTAGAGGTCACATGATCTTCTGATCCCAAGGACTCTTGAATGTATCATTTCACTTTATTTAATACAGGTTTGAATCTGGGGCTGTTTGTCATTCGGCCGTTTCAGATTTAATTTAATTACATGTTTCCTATGTGTTGTTTGTACGGAGGCCGACAGGAGCCAACACACAACAACACTCCTCCATCAGGAGAAGCAGCTTCAGAAAGGATGCAGATATAAAACCCAAAGGTTCCACATGAAGAAACATCTTCAACAACACGTGCAGCATTTAGAGAACATTCAGTAACTTGAGGAGACATGAGCAGCGTTTACTAGAAGCTGCAGAAACCAAACGCTGAAGAAGCTCAGACACAACGGAGACCAGGGGACACTAAAGAGTGACGCACACAGCTGGGAGACCAGGGGACACTAAAGAGTGACGCACACAGCTGGGAGACCAGGGGACACTAAAGAGTGACGCACACAGCTGGGAGACCAGGGGACACTAAAGAGTGACGCACACAGCTGGAGACCAGGGGACACTAAAGAGTGACGCACACAGCTGGGAGACCAGGGGACACTAAAGAGTGACGCACACAGCTGGGAGACCAGGGTTGCGGTCGAATAGTCCATTTAGCTTAGGAACCTTCCTAACGGAGTGAAATGACCCGGAAGTCCCTCAGTGGCAGCCATGATAAGTGCCGTTCCAATTCTCTAAATGAAAGGAAAGGAGGTTTCAAACTTCCTTTATAACCTCCTTTAGCTTAGGAACCACTGGACCTCCCTAACCGACATGAGAGGAGAAAATGCTGCCCCACAATGCCTTGCGGCTGTGGCATTTAAGCCGAGGGAATATCCGGTCGTTCACGGAAACAATCGATTATGAACGAGAAATGATATCATGAAAGTTACGGTTCAAAACGTATGTGGTAAGTTGCCAAAGTGCTTTGTTTTGAACGTTCATCAGTATTATAATCAAAAAGGGAAATGTGAACGTTAGTTTTGACTGAAATGATCAAATAAAGTCAACATTTCACAGTCTTTACTA